GCACAGTTTGAAGTGTATGCTTGAATGGCAGGATACACAGTATTGCTTCTTTTCCTATTGCTTATTTCCTGTTCTTCTTCTTGGCTAGGAATCAGCAGCACAAGTCTAAAAGCAGCTTTCAGATATTTGGGTATATCCACACTGTAAATTTATGCTTTCAAAACAATAGCAAGACACATTTTCTAGTGTTTGGTCTAGAGGTGAATGTTTAAAATTCAACAGTGCTTCCAGTGACTGCATTTCCCCCATGTGAGGATCACTCCCAAAGCCTGCAAGTGGTCACAGCATTAAGGCATTATTCTTGCACTGGAGCAGAACCACAGTTATGACAGTGAGGGGAATAAATTAGAGGAGCTTACGCAAGACAGTGTGAAGAAAGATACATGCTTATGAAAAAGGTTTTTCACAGGACCTCTGAGAAAAAACAGTGAAAAGATCTTCCACCTGATTCAGGGCCAAACGAAGCATTTCCTGAGGCTGTTTATGTTTGTAGGCTATGACAACACTTGACAAACTGCATACACTACAGAAAAGTGTATTTTCTGTAAGCTGCTTTTTTCTTTCATGGTGTATGTGATGACACAGGAAATCTGAGAAAAAAAGCACACACAAAGAGAATATGCAACCTATGATAGATAATATCTGCAGCCTAAAATTGCTAATTTGCAATGTGACCTCTGCAAATAAGGATTTAAGAATCCTGCTATAGTAGAAGCAATATATTTCAGAAGAGATGTCATTTCCCACATAATTACATTAATTTATTGTCCTTACTTAATTTCTAGCACAAGAAATCTTCATTCTTTCTAGGCTACCATAACTTCAAACAACTTTTTTCTCTGAAATTTTATTTGCAGGGTAAATTGATACAGCGAAGAACAGAGGAATTTCTCAAAAAAAAAATTATTACATCCTTTCCTTCATTTCATCGCCTGCGTGGGCATTTGTTGCATTAATCTTTTAAAGTAATCCTTTCCCCTTTTTGGAGGGTCTTTACTCTTTCATCCAAAGAGTCTGAAGGAAATGAGAAAACCCGGTTATACCTTGAAGGTGACAGTCACTACCACCCTCTGTTGGTGCATCTGCCTCATCTACTCTATTCCTTTTGAATAGAGCGGAAACTCACAGCTCCCGTGCAATGAGTGCTGAGTTGCTGCAGGTACAGCTCTGACACCCAGCGGCCACTTCACTCACCACCTGCTCCTGGATTCCAGACCGTTCCAAACTTGGCTTCAATTGTTACAGCTTTTATCGCCAAAAAGATAATTTCTGCTTTAAAACCAATGCCTTTCAGTGATTTCCATAGGTAAGCTTCTGTTGTTTAGAACTTTCAAATATTTACTAACACTACTACAGGGGAACAGACAATTGCAAAATATTTTTATTTTGATAATTATATTTAATAGTGTTCAGTATGAAAACTGTCAAACTTCCTTGAATGCTGAATTATTCAGAAATGCCACAAGCACATTAGAACTCAGAAATAATTCTCACTTTATAACTCCACATCTGTGCATGCATATACACCTCTTCTTGAGTGAACGCTGAATTTGGAGAATTGCTTATAAATACTAGTTACTTGCCTGTTGACTAATAATTTTACCTATTTTTTTCTTCCTGGTTCTGGTTAGCTTGTCTTGTATGCACAGAGTTGTTTTTTTATCAAAGCCAATACAGTGACATTTCTGTGCCCATATTTTCCCAGAGTTCTGGATGTTTGAATTCAGTGTCTTATTCTGTCCCACTTTCAAGCTTGCTGACAAATTCAGGTTTAAACTTCCGTTCCAGAATATTATTATTTTTTTTTAAACTAGAATTCTAATGTTTATTTTGTTTAATGCAATTACTGATTCTATGAACTCCTGCAAGAGATGGATAAACTCCTGGGCATCTTTCTATTCCAAAAATGGATTCTTTTAATTAGTGCATCTCCTAGCTTAGAGTTCTCAAGGTGACAATTTGAAAGCAACACAGAGGTCAGCCCTATATGCTATTGCGTTGTCTCCGAACATCTATCAAATGGTAGTGTCCTTCATACAGTCCCAATCTTTATAAAGATACAATTTTAAAAAGAAATGAAAGCTTTCCCACATTTTAAGTAGATTTTTCCATTTCCTTTTGTATATTAGCACATAGTACATCCCTTCACCACAAAACGGTTAGCTCTCAAGCACCTCAATGATGTTTATTCTAGTAAAATAAACCTTTTTGGCTTTTCCTTTACGAAGGTCATCTCTATTCACCCTACTCTCAGCAACTACATATGCAGTCTCTGAGATGTTCACCATGTTAAACTGCACCTGTTGTAGGATTAAGGCTGGAAGGCTGAGCCTGTAGTGAGAAAGAAGACATTATGGATAGTAATAGGACAAGGGGGAATGGTTTTAAACTAAGACAGGGGAGGTTTAAATTAGATATTAGGAGGAAGTTTTTTACACAGAGGGTGGAACAGGAACAACCAAGGAGGTTGTGGATACCCCATCCTTGGAGGCATTCAAGGCCAGGCTGGATGTGGCTCTGGGCAGCCTGGTCTGGTGGTTGGTGACCCTGCACATAGCAGGGGGGTTGAAACTAGATGATCATTGTGGTCCTTTTCAACTCAGGCCATTCTATGATTCTATTATTCTATGATTCTGAGCTATAAACCAGAGTCATGTACAAACAATTCCGAGATGAAACAAGAGGCCACTAATACTAGAAAGCTTGGAGTAGATTTCTGAAAGATAGTTTCCTTAGATTACCTCTCTAAAGTCTTGCTGAATACCTAAATTGCTCAGTCTCCCTCTCATAGTCAGCATTTCAAGTGCTTAATGTGACATTTTTACATTTGTTTAACATTTTTTCTTCTTCAGGAAAATAAAACCAACTTGCACTCTCTCTCATCTGACACAGAGTAGCCCTTAAGAATGTACCTCACTTCTTTGTTACATCGGTGAGTTTCCTTCCTGATAGTTTCTGGCCCAGATTTTTAAAATATGTAAGTCACAGACAGCTTTTTCAAAGTTCCAGAAGTGGGATACCTCTGCCTTTTTCTGCAGGAGTGGTGTTTTACTTTTTTTTTTTTCCCCCCTTGGTCTCTCTGGAAGCAACTACAGAATGCAATTGCGGTATCCAGCTGTGTAAAACTGCTTCCTGCTAAGTAAGACTTGATAATGACTCTACAGATCCTCATAAAAACAAAGCAAAACAAAAATTATAATCCTTATTTAGTTCATCGCAATAAAACAGTTTAGGATATTGCTTTATTGCTTTGACACTGCTTTCCATGGCATTGGCTTCATAAGATGATCATTTGTAAAGAAGAGGCCTTTCATCTGGATTAGATTTCTGTGGATTTCTTTGGACTACACAGCATTTAGAGGAAAGCAAGAAATAGCTTCAAGTGTCCTATCAGAAAATTTCTGGTTACGTGTCTTTCCTATTTTAAAGCAAGTAATTAAAATCAGTGCTCCCATATGAAAGCATGTATTGTTCCACACCTTTTATATTTAACATGAATTTTTAAATAGCTTTCTTGAAGAGAGCTAGAAAGACTACTTATTTGATGAATAATAGAATTTATTCCAGTCTCAACTTTGACCAAGTTAGATAGGTGATACAAATTATAATTTATGACTTTTTTATCTGCTCATGAGTTTAATATCCACATGAAATATTACGTGCCATCAACAAAAGGAAAAAAAAATCTTTTCCAATGGTAACATTTGATTTTGGCTTAAATGTATCTCTTGTGCCTGTTTAGCTGCAAAGTCTGCCTGGGGAAAAGCAATAGCTCTGCTTATCATAAAGGAAACAGGATGGGACCTATAGTACCTTAACACAGCTTACTGTAGCTACATTGCCCTTACCAAAATATTTTTTTTGGGGGGGACCCTCAAATTCAGTGCACTATTTTAGCATTTCTCAATAAGGAGCTCCTGCAATGAAGTTAGCACAGAAGTGCAATGCCGCCCTTTAAACAAAGAGCTAATGACAGTGTTAGCACCTCGTAGCTATTTTTGTTAGAGCTCTCTTCCTCCAGAGTCAGACTTCCTGTGTCACTTGTTTAAAAGCAAAATAAAACATAATCTGTACAGAGACAATGCCAGGAGCAGGGAAACATGAGCTTTAGGAGACGCTCCATTAATTTTGCTTTCTGGCATTTCCTGATAAATGGAGATGTTCTGTTTTTGTTCCCAAAGCCCCATTATAAAGTTACAGGATCATTAAGGTTGGAAAAGACAACTAAGATCAAGTCCAGCCATCAGCCCATCCCTACTGCATCACTATGTCCCTCAGTGCCACATCCACACGGTTCTTGAACACTTCCATGGACGGTGACCCCACCACCTCACTGGGCAGCCTCTGCCACCGCCTCACCACTCTTTTGGAGATTTTTTTCCTAATATCTACATAACTTACATGGATACTGAGATAATATCTACGTGGCTTGTGGCCAGATGTGCTAGCAAATGCTCACATGATTCTCAGATGGGTGAATTCAGCAGCATTTATAAGCTTGAGCTGTGCTTTTCCTTTAGGAATTAACTTGAGGCTTTGGTGCTGGCTTCAGGGAGATTCAGCCTTGTTTCTGGCTCGGGAATACCAAGTCCTCAAGCACACCTTTCAGAATAACGAGTAGTACAGACGTTGGCCTGCAGTCATACCCTCGCCTGGCTCACTACTAGATTGCTCAGTCAAAGTAAAGAATAAGAAGTTATTTCATTTCAAATTGTATTAATACTTATTAATCTCAGGGAGACCAATAGCAGACACCGAGGATCCCCCTAACGGGACACTTGTTTAGTCTGTCGCGTTGCTCCGCAGCCGAGGCGCTGGCGGGGCTCTGTACCCCTCCCCGCCCGCCGAAGCAGCCGGCACAAGACACTCCGCTCCCTCCCACCGCCGCCCGAGACTACGCCTCCCGGCACGCCTTTACAGGCGCGCATGCGCGCTACGCCACACCCATCCGTTATGGTCGGCGAAATCCCTTCCGTTCTCGGTTTAGGGGAGCGGAAGTGGCGCGCGCCGGCCGGTGACGTCACTTCCGCCCGCCATTTGACTTGTCGGGGCGGCACCATGACGGACCGCTACACCATCCACAGCCAGCTGGAGCACCTCCAGTCCAAGTACATCGGGACGGGCCACGCCGACACCACCAAGTGGGAGTGGCTGGTGAACCAGCACCGCGACTCGTACTGCTCCTACATGGGCCACTTCGACTTGCTCAACTACTTCGCCATCGCCGAGAATGAGAGCAAGGCGCGCGTCCGCTTCAACCTCATGGAGAAGATGCTGCAGCCCTGCGGGCCGCCCGCCGATAAGCCCGACGAGTCCTAACCTTGCGACCTGCCCGCCGGCACCGGCTTTGTTGTGACTCCGCACGCCGAGGGGAGATGAAGGGAGTCGCCCCGTCCTCGTGTCCCGCGTCCTGTGTTCGGCGAAGGGTGTTGGAAGGAGAAGGAAGCTCTGTAAAACGCCCGCTCTTGGACACTTTGGTTTCTCTTAGTTGCACAGCTGTTTGCCCTTTGTTTTTTTAATGGGAAATAAAATCTACTGGGCATTTCTAACGTGTTGTGTGGTAATCTGCTGATAAGAGCGCTTGGTTCTAAAGGGAATACTGATGTATTCAGTTTTTCAGTGCAGCTGCCCAGATGCTTAACAGATAGCATGATAGCACCTTGCCAGCCCTGCTGACTGGTGCTCACTTGCCAGCATTGTTTGTTGGGAGGGAGAGGAAAAAGCCTGTTGGCACTGAAAGGTTTGATTTGTTGTTAGCATTTCTTGAACTGAGTGATCTGTGACTAAATACAGGCCAATTGCTTAAGGGCCCTGAAATTCCAGAGTGACTTTTTTTCATGGTCTGTTTTATACCTTGTCTTCCCTTTCCCTGTTTGTTGCATTTTCCACATATTTATTGTGTCTATTCCAGCTTAGTTTCTTTTTTACTTATGTTTGTAGCCATCCAGTGATTAAAAATGTTTCCATGATTCACTGCACAAGTGAGTATGAATGTGGGGGTTAGGCACTGTAAATAAAAGTGATGTGGAGGCAAAGGAAAAACTAAACCATTTGCCAAATGACTTCTCAACATTTCTTCCTGTAAGAGAGAGAGAAAAAAAAAAAAAAAGAGTTTATTAGTACTTTGAAGTAAAATGCTTACAAACCCCCATGACGTGACTTTCACTTTAGTTATATTCAGACTGCAAACAAGATGGATGTTAGGTTTGTCACCTAAAATGGGCTTTCTCTTATTGTAGTAAAAATAAATTTTGATTTGTAATAGAAAACATCAAAGTAAAACATGGCTAAGATTGTATGCAAATTTACCAATGGCATTTTTGAAGTTGGTGGTCTCAGAACTTCTGAGTAATAAATGTCTCATATTCTTTACTGAGCCTTATAAACTAAGCTGTTCAAAATGCTGCAGTAAGAACAGGAGCGTTCGCTCCTGAGGTCGTGTTCAAGTCATAGTATCCACCTGAAGAACTCAGAAGCTCAGAAATAGCTTTTTGTTGCTGTTACACATACTGTAGTGAGGGCAAAGATGAAACGATCTTGAATAAATGTAACCTGTCAGATCTGTGGGGGAGTACTGCAGTTTTCAAGAAATTAATGTGTAGGCGTAATTTTCAGAAAATGCTTATTGTGCACTTTTCACTGCAATTCATCTTTAAAATTGGTGTTTTCTGAAGGGTTGTGTTGTACTTCAAAATTGGTGTAGCAGAACAGCTTGAAATAGATGTGCAAGCTGGTACAAGTAATTTAAAGAGAATCAGTTCCTTACCAACTAAGAAACATGGCTGGAAGATTTTCCTTGAATGAGATCAGATGATACTTCAAAGTAGACATGAAATGCAGTTTTGCAGAAATCAAGCAAAACTCATATTTAAATAAAGCAAGTGTTCTCGTTGCTGTTCTAAGGCAGAGCTTAGGAATTTGTCTTTTCCATATATGAATAGTCAGTATGCTCGGTGGAAGAGGATAGAATGGGGAAATTCTGTTTTTCTTACTATACATACATCATACTAATTCTTACATTCTTACTCTTATACTCTCTTTGGGGGCTGCAAGGAGAACAAACAGGCCAGGAGCTTGAGCCTCAGTACAGTGACTAAGGATTGAGTGAGAGTATGGAGGCTTCTTTAATGGATTGGAAAACGGATTTGCAATTTTTTGCTAGAAGAAACACATGGATGGAAAACCGTAAGCTATGCAACTTAACCCTGCAAAAAATTAGAATGAAATACATTTTCAAGGCAATTTTCTTTCAGACTAAACTGCTAACAGTTAGCTCTGTTCACAGATATTCAGTACTCACAGAATATTTAAAAATGTGAGCAACAAGGGTAGGGCACATGGGTGGAGCTGAACACCTCCCTCCCGCAGGCCATCTCTTCATGATATAAGCCATGCTGCTTTCAGGGAGAAGTCTGAGTTACATGGTGAATTAACCTGCTTGCTGGTTCTGCTGCATACGTGCATACATTGAGATCTCAGTTAAGCACGTGTGTCTTTTTGTGCAGTTGGGAAAAGGTTTTTGAGAGGCTATACTAAGTTCTGATTATGAAATATTACAAACACTTAGGAACTGCAGAAACCTGAAGGGAAGTTAGTATTCCTAAGTATTCCAGTCAAACTTGGATACAACTGGGAGAAACTGAAGAGTATGTTTCTAACCTTTAGCACTTCCTAAGTCTCAAAGTATTTTCAAAACCATTCAGTGAAGACAGTGAACTCTCTCATTTTGTTACTGTAAAGCTGTAAAGAACGGAGTTAATTGTCAAGCCCATTGGGATGCACTTGTTCTTTACCTCAATCCCAATTTAAAGATGAAGGATACCATTTATCTATTAAATGGCTTAATGTTTTGCATTGTGTTCTTCTATCCAAGCAGTATGCCTTTAATTTGGCTTTCCACTGTGATCTCCATCTAATTTTCTTAAATTTATGTAGCTTAATATTAGATAAAGTGAAGTGTGAGAAATATAATTTGTTTCTAGTGCAGATGTGCCTTGTGTTTGGCATGAAGGAATTTCACCTGTTCCTGTTCTGCCAACTATCCCGTCTTTGTAGGTTCTCTGTGGAGTAGAATGTATGTGTACTATTCTATTGTTATTTTTTAATTAAAAATTCTAATAGATGTTACACATGATATATAATAACTATTTAGCTAAGAATATAATACCAAAATGACTTAGGTAAGATTTCTGTATAAAGTGAGAGCTCTGAGGATGGCAGGTGTAAGTGAGGAGAAGGCCCACAGTGCTTTAATTATGGATTATTCAAGAGAAGGAGAATCAAGCTTGACTCTCACAGAAGAAAGATGCAAAGCTTTGAGCTGAGAGGGTTCATTTTACTTATAAGCGGATATATTCAATACAGAGAACATTACAATAGAATTGCATTACTACCTTCATTTTAAATTCTGTTTCTTACTGTTCTCTTGATAATGTGTCTGCCTTATATACCAGGTAGAAATGTGAGGATTACTGAGTTATTCTGGAAACTACGAAATCTTAACAGTTTACTCAATTTCTGTATTCCTGATTTCCAATAAAAATGATTTTTCTTTTTATGACACCAGAGGGCAGCAAATGACAGTGCTGTTCAAATGAGGGCACGCTATTACTTGAAATAAATAGAATTGTGCATTATCTCGCAAAGTTCCTCTGAAAGAAATAGATGGGTACTTTAAAAAATTGCTAAAACTTACCAGCAAGCAGAAATACTGAGCTTTTTCCTATGGGACAGTTCTAAGGTTCAGAACATATATTATACCTTTTATTCTGAATAGGTAAGTAGAGCAATATGGAAAGCCCAGTACAGTACTACAGCTCTATCATTTTGAGTACTCTTTATTGGAATGACAGCAGTGCCTTAGTTAACACTTGCACGGTGAAACAATTGCACTAGTGAGTTATTTCCCACACACAATCCAACTGAGGTCACTTCTTTCACTTTAGTTATATTCAGCATAAAACTCAGATTTGTTTTTTAGGATCATTTAAATAAATATTCATAGGTGATAACGGTTTGTAAACATCACACAAAGTCAGGAGGTGGTGTCTAAACAGGCTTAAAGCCTGACTGCATATGATGTTGACATAGCTGAATCACGTGAGCTGCTGTCAACAGGCTGAGATTAACCAACTGGAAGCAAAAACAATTGAAAGTCACTTTTGCTAAAGGAAGAAAACATAACGTTTTATATTCTGAGCCAGAAGTTTTTACAGCCTGTGTGGAAAGTTTGGGGTAACAGCCTGCAGACTGCTGTGCAATTCGATGCATATATTGCAAAGCTCACATATGTAAGGCCTGGAAAACCAGAGCACTGCTATTAAACAGTGGTTGCAGTGCTCACACATGCCATGGGCAGGCCTCAGGAGGCACAGGCAGTCAAGCCTTCCAGCGTCTGGTGCTTAAGTAAAATCCAGGTATTGTTCTTGTAATATCAATTTAAAAAAACAGTGTTTTCTTTTTTCTTTTTTCTTTTTTCTTTTTTCTTTTTTCTTTTTTCTTTTTTCTTTTTTCTTTTTTCTTTTCTTTTTTTTTTTCCAAAAGGGAAAGTTACCCTAATATTTTCACTCTAACAATTTTCCCAGCATGTATCAGCAACTAGGGTTGATCCCTACAGTTTTAGTATGCATAACATTTATTGTGCTTGCTGTTTGACTTACAAATTAATGAAGTGCTATATAAAGGAGGTGGAAGTGCTATTGTTAAATGTAGTTTTTCAAGAGCAATGATCTCCCAATGTCAGGTTCAATATCTAGATAAAATTAGTCGCATTTTAAGCATCTTTTTTTTCCAATCCTACCTTTTCCAGAAATAGCATGCGTCCAGTCTTTAAATATCCCTCATGAAGTTACCATTCAGACAAAACTTCCTGGAGGAACTTTTCGAGAGAAATATTTTGATGCTGTAATAAGGGATATGGGTTGGTGGGAAGTTATTGGAAGTTGGTGGACAGTTGGACTAGATGATCTTGGAGGTCTTCTCCAACCTTAGCAATTCTTGCTGAAGTTATTCTGAGAGCTAACTCAGATATGAGGGTATGAGCAGATTACAGATCTCAAGCTGCAGTTTTCTGAAGTGTCTTGTTTCTGTAGCATTTGCATCTGCCAAGACAATGTTGCAAGTAAAACATTCAGGCTGTAGTTCTCTGAACTAGATTTTGAAGAATGACTAGAACATGAAATAATCAAACAAGAAGAAAAAGATCAAGGACGTAGCATCTGGTCCATTTTGCCTCTTAATTTTGCAAGAAATCTTCACATTAGTTAGTGTTTGAGAATAGGCTCTTATTCAATCTCTATAGAGTAGTAAGAGCTGTAATAAGTAGAGGGAAACATGTTTCTTTAATATTTTGTCCTTCTGTTAACTCTGTAAAGCATCAGACTTACGAAAAACAAACTGTGAGACATCACTGGCTGGACCTATGGAGCTGCACCTCCACCAGCTGCCCTGAGAATGTGATGGGTCTGTCCACAGGTTGGGAAAGTGGCTTACACCCACACCAGGGCTTTGTGGCATTGCTGAGTACATGCAGCAGGCCTTCATGCAAGTG